TGGAAAGAAGGGATTGTTGAAACAGATGTATGTGGAAATGCTTTGTCTGGCTGTTGAGCCGGCCTCCTGGAGTTTAAAATCTGGCCTGGAATTTTTGTACTCTCAGCACATTGCCTGTTCTCTGATCAAGCACTGCAGCCGCGAGGTCACACTATTTTATGGAAAATGCTAGAATCATATTTCTTAAGGTGGCCATCTCTCTTAGATTTTGCTTTCTTCCTAAATGCTTTAATAACATTAAAAAAACAAAACAAAAAACCCCTGTATTTTGGTCTAGTTTTAGACTTAGAGATTTTAATAAATTTTAATGTGGAAAAAGATGTACTTAAAATATAAAACTAGAAATGGAATAGTCTTTGTTATGAGTATATATTAAGTTTAATTGTAATCTTTTCAACAGTTTTTAGACTTTATACAATTAAAGTACTTTTTTATTTTTCCAATACTCTTAAGTACCATAATGATCATTTGCATTTTAAGTGCAGAATGTTTTTAAGTAAGATTTTGTTCTCCAGCTTCGATTAATGCTATATAAGTAACAGCAGCAGTTATATGAATAACTGGTAAGTGGTGTAAATAAGTTTGCTTTTGACTTAGTTTTCCGTCACCCAAAAAGTAGTGTCAAGAATATTTAACAAATATTTAAGTTACTATGCAGAAGTCAAGAAATGGCATGTCCTTATTTGAGCTGGGTGTGTAATTTTTGTCAAATGGTATTCCTGGAAATATGTGTCAAAGTATAGTTTTCACATTAGTATTCGCTTCCCACAGAGCCAAGAACAAAAGCAGGATGTGTCTGTTGTGAGCTTATTTGGAAGAGTTGCCTTGAAATAAATATCAAACCTGAAATAGTTTTAAGAGACCCCCCGTGAAATAAAACCTGAATTGTTGTTACGCCCGTAGAGGCCCTTTTAAATGATGACGGGGAAAGAACATTTCACAGAATAAATCTTGGAGCCAAAGGCATTACAAATCACACGCAGTTTGAAAGTTTATTCTTTGTTATTTTTGATGGAACTTGCTTGGAAGGAGGAAGTAAGCTGCTTCCCGAAACTGAATGAGCTCTCAGAATGGATGCAGGCCACTCCAGACTAACATGCAGCACGTGATTTATTAGCTGGTGTAATTGAATAGCTGAGAACGCTGGTCTCTCCTTGGCCCAACATGGTGATTTAAGAGGTCCTTACGGTAGTTGGTTATGATAAGTAAACGATTGTGTCGAAAGTCAGCAGGAAATGAATCTCATTGCTTGTCTGGCACAGTTACTGGCAGTGCTGAGCAGAGGCTGGTGCTGATGACCAACTCAGAAAGGTCTGGGAGGTCACCTTTAAAAAGGTTTGCTAGTCATAGGTCCTTTCTGGGTTACAAGGTTACAAACATGATAGAAGGTTGTCCGATAGGCAGGAAGAACTGACGCTTGGACTGTGCGGCTCTGGTTTGTTCACTGGGGGTCGGTGAGGCAGAGCTGAGGCTGGGTGTCCACAAATACAAATGGTCAGTGGGGTGCCCCTCCTCGCCACGCCCACTTTTCCTCATACCTGTGGCCATGTGCAATGCTGGCTTCCTACCGAAACCTCTGGCTGTGCCGTTACTACACTTACCCCACATAGTGATCAGGCAGCATGGGCCCTTCATTTTGGGGAGAGTGAATTTCTGTACCTGTTAATGCCTCTACGTTAGTGTACCATGGGCAGTTATTTATTTTAATGTTATTTCTTTCCTTTGTCTTTTTTTTTCCCCCCAATCTCTTCTTGCCTTTATATATTTTTCTTTCTTTTTTGTCTCATTCTCTCCTTCCCTCTTTCTTCCTTTGTCTTCCTCTTAACATGTCCTTTTTTTCTCTTCCGCTGATACTCCCTATTTCTTCTGTTTAAGAGCCAAGAAAATAATCTCTGATGAGCTTATAGATAGATCTCCAACAAGAGAAGGAAAGACTTAGATGTGTCTTTTTCCAATAAGTAAATTTATGTTAGATTTAAGAGATTAGGTAATCTCCATTCCAGAGGATTTTTACAATCTTATCAAATTAAATCGTAGAACTCAGGATATTTTTTGACTTTGTGATATTTTATGAATGTACATTTTTTTGCAAATATGTTTTTTCTATGTTTGTATTATTTTTCTGTTGAAGTTTATTTCACAAAGTTTTAACCAAGTTAAAGGAAGTGTTAAGAAGAGAAAGAAAAAAAATCACAATTCTATCTGTAACAGACTTACTGTTTCTATGTTTTGTACTAATATTTGTCAAAATATTTACATAATCTTTATGGAGTATAAATCATAGGTAAATTTAATTTTGCATTCTTCTTCACTTTATGTACTTTCATAAATGCTTTCTTTCTAAAAAAAATATATTTTTATTGATTTCAGAGAAGAAGGGAGAGGGAAAGAGAGATTGAAACATCAATGATGAGAATCATTGATCGGCTGCCTCCTGTACACCCCCATTGAGAATCGAACCTGTAAACTGGGCATGTGCCCTGACCAGGAATCCAACTCCTGGTTCATAGGTCAAAGTTCACCCACTGAGCCACGCTGGCAAGGCTGATGAGTGTTATTAGACTTATTTCATTGATGAGGCAATTGGGGCTTAGCTTAATTTATTTCAGTTTGACAAACATTAATTGAGCTCTACTACCTTCTAGGTACCACACTGAGTTCTGGGGATTCAAAGATGAGTGGGATATGGTCCCTCCAATATGGAATTCATAAAACAGTGGGGAAGCCAGTTAGTAAGAAGATCATTTTAATTCAGTATGCTAAATGCAGCAGCATAAAGAACACCTGCCCTGGCTTAGAGCAGGTTTGCTTCTCACACTTTAGTGTGCCTACAGGTTCCTGGCGTTCTTGTTCAAAGGCAGATTCTGGCTTTTGGGTCTTTAGTGGGATCTGAGACACTTAATGTTAATAGGTTTCTGCTGCTGCTGGTCCACTCATCTCCATTTGGGTAGGCATATCATAGACTATGTGAATAAATATCTGTTAGGTAGACAAATGGGTGAAGGTATTCTAGACAGAGAGCAGTGTGGGGACAGGCATCAGAGCATAAGCAAGTGTGTCATATGGGGAAACTATTTACAATCTATGGCAAGTATTGGCAAACTACGGCTCCCCAACTGAAGCCAGCCCCCCCCCCCCCCCCCCCCCCCCGGTCTGTTTCATATTGTCTGTGAGCTAGGAATTGTTTTTATGGTTTTCAGAGGGTTGTAAAAAAACAAAAACCCACCCCAAAACAAAGAAGAAAATAAAACGGAGATGCAAAAAAGCTTGAAATATTTACTACCCAGTCCTTCAAAGAACAAGTGGGGCCCCTGCCAGTGGTGTTGATGGCACTGGGGAGTGTAAACATGCCCTGGGCGGGACAGCAGGCAGGCGATGACCGCCTATGGATGCCGAGGAGCTTAGCCTTTATCTTTGAAGCAGGGTTTCAAGATAAGGGTCGCAGGCTCAGGCTTTGTTTTAGAAAAATCTCTCTGGCAGAACACAGATACAAGGGGGCGATGCTGGAGGCCAGGGCACCAACCGGGAGGCCTGAACGAAGGCAGATGGGGTAGGAGAAGGCGGAGTTGAGAACTGCCTTGGACAGTTCTTCATTCTCTTTTGACTGCGACCCATAGGAGATCGACGTTTTACTTCACGACCCAGCACGCACAGATACATGCACACACACAGCAAGACGTGTCGCTCAGAACATTTGTCTTCATTGTGGATAAGCGGGAACATTTTTTCATTTCCTTAAAGAAAATGCTGCTCACTGCCCACTAAGTTGGTTTCATATTGAGTCATAACCTGTGGTTTGAAAACCACCTATCCAAGGAGGGAAACACAGTGGGATTTTGTCACCGATTTGATGTAAGGGAACAAGGATCCTGCCATGGTGAATGGTCCTGCTCCCAACCAAAACCAGTAATAGAAAGGGAAGCCATTTGGAAGGGGAAGGTGACCCAGTGTTTGGGAGTTAATAAGCTTTTCCAGCCGAAACCAGTTTGGCTCAATGGATAGAGCATTGGCCTGCGGACTGAAAGGTCCTGGGTTTGATTCTGGTCAAGGGCATGAACCTTGGTTGTGGGCCCATCCCCAGTAGGGGGTGTGCAAGAGGCAGCTGATCGATGACTCTCTCTCATTGATGTTTCTGACTCTCTGTCACTCTCTCTTCCTCTCTTAAAAAAATAAAATAAAATATATTAAAAAAAAAAAAAAAAGCTCTTCCAGGCCAACCTAGAAAGTCTACATTGTTTACAACATTGTCAGAGTTCTTAATGGGAGGAGGCAGCATGAATTTAAAATAACTGCCTTTTATCGAAAATGTGTACATTGGGGAGTAACTTGCACATCTTATTTTGAGATGCTTATTTAATTGGGTGCTTGCATATCAGGAAAAGATGAATATTCTTTTTTTAAAAAAATGAATATTCTGATATCTACAATAATAAAAGAGAAGAATGCAAGTTGACCATATCTTCACAATGCCCACAAGCCAATCAGGAGTGCATATGCAAATTAACCGAACGAAGATGTCAGGTTAATTTGCATAGGCAGGCACCTAGTGGCCAGGGGCGGGGTGGGATGTGCCTGTCACTCCGGGCCTCTGGGCAGTGTGGGAAGGCGGAAAGGTGGCTCTGGGGAAGAAAGGCTCATTCTTGCACAAATCTTTGTGCATCGGGCCTCTACTATTAAAATATTTATCCAAGAGAGAGTAATCAGATCACATTAATTAGTTTGCATATGGTAGTGTATGTGCGCAGTTTGCTTTAGAAATGTATCCCTATATACTATCAGAGGGTTATCAGGGCTTGATTCCTTTACTTATTCCAGGTAAAAATAGAACCAGCGGCATTTGTCTGCACCCTTCTCCCCGACAGTGTCATGATCTCCTGTTGGAAGTGTGAAAGAATGTTTCTTAAATGGACCTTGTCAGTGTAAATAATTTATATGTATACCTAAGTTAAAAGTTATTTTTTTAAAATTAGTAAATAATAACTTCTAAATTCTTTCTATAGATTGAATACCTGCTTAAGAAACTGACAGACGCCATGGGGGGAGTTTGGCAGCAAGAACAGTTTGAAGATTATAAAGTCAACTTTGATGACGGGAAAGACGGCCTCTCGGCGTGGGAGCTGATCGAGCTCATTGGAACCGGACAGTTTAGCAAAGGCATGGACCGGCAGACGGTGTCCATGGCCATTAATGAAGTCTTCAATGAGCTGATATTGGATGTGTTGAAACAGGTAAGACTCCTGTAACACTGCGTCTCTTCTCACCTTTGGAATTGGACTCGTATGAAGTGAGACACATGTTCATCACACAGATGAGTATGAGTCACTTACACTTTTACACTGATGTAGGGCTGAACAAAGTTTCTTACTTCTTCAGGGTTTCCTTTTGCAGAATTACAGGTGCATTTCTGAAGTACGGTTAAGCATTGGCGTTGCTATTTATTTATTTGTTTACTTATTATACATTTTTATTGATTTCAGAGAGGAAGGGAGGAGAGAGATATATAGAAACATCAACGATGAGGAGAACCATTGATCAGCTGCCTTCTGCCTGATTGGGGATTAGCCCCTAAACCAGGCATGTGCCCTGACCGGGAATCAAACTGTGACCTCCTGCTTCCTAGGTTGACGCTCAACCACTGCCCACCGCGGCCGGACGGAGTTGCTATTTTGAAAGAACTGTTTAAATGACCACATTTCCAAGTGGTTTTTAAAGTACTCTCGGTCATGTGTACATCCTTACCTGTTCCCCTGGACGATCCCCGATCCCCACGGCATGCTGTGCAGCAGCGTCTGGTGGTCCCTTTCACAGGGTGAGGTGTGGGTACAGAGCTGTCAGGAAGGGCGCTCAGCAGTGTTAGAGTGATTGCCTCTGGATTGTGGAAGTTTTGCAAACTTTATTTTCTTCTTGGTTCCTTTCTTATTATTGGACGTATATACATGAGTTTATGTATATGGTTATATATTGTTTTTATAAAGTCAGAAAAATATTCTTATTTTTTGAAGAAAACCCCTTTATATAACAAAATTGCATTTATCTTATTAGATTATGATGTTTGTTTTCTCAGCACCCGCAAAGCAAACTGGTAATCGTATGGAGAGCTTCATGCTTGTTAAATGGAGTGTATATATTTATTAGTGGATCTCTCAAATTTCTTATCCTACATAATAAAAGGCTAATATGCAGATTGTCCCCCTGGACCAGGAGTTTGACCAGGAGTTGACCAGAGGGTGGGGCCGACCAGTCAACCACCTGCAGCTCCTTCCCCTAGCCGGCCACATCCCTGATGGCTCCCCACCGCCATCGGGTGGGCTGGCCGAACCCCACCCGTGCACACATTCATGCACCAGGCCTCTAGTATTATAATACTGAATAATAACTCCAATTTGTTATTTCCTTACTTCGGTCCCTTTTTTGCTCAGTAGGTGATATTGTCATCTTTTTTCCTAGTACAGCCCATCAATAAACAGTAGTTGAGGCTTAATTTGTACAGGTTTTTGTACAGGTGCTTTGAGGAAATATAAGACATGATCTGATGGACTAAGCCTATGAGGAAGGCAGGTTAAGGACTAAGATGGACTTCCGTATGAGATAGCCTAACAAGATTTAAAAAAAAATTACAGTTTACTTTCAATATTATTTTGTGTTAGTTTTAGGTGTACAGCATAGCGGTTAGACAATCCTATACTTTACAGAGTGTTCCTCCTGATATTTCCATTACCCACCCGGCATCATACAGAGTAATTACAACATTGTTAACTACTCCCTCTGCTTCACCTTACATTTCTGTGCTTATTTTCTAACTACCAATTAGTACTTCTTACTCCTTTAGCCTTTTTTGCCCCTCCTCCCCCGTACATTTAATATTTAAAGGCCAGCTATTCTTGAACAGCCTTGAAAGGCTATAATAAGGTGTAATTTGTTGAAGTGAAAGTTTGAATTATACACCTTTGAGGCTGATATATGGGGAGGAGGTACAGGCTTATAAGTATGCATAGAAGCTACACAGAGAAGCCAGCATCGTTAACTATTGCTTTATTCTTTCTTTGCTCATCGGGAGCAGAGTTCATCCTCCAGAATACTAGGAGGTCAGGTAGAAAGGTAAGTTGGTGCCAGAAGGTGATTGGCTGAGTAGATAATACTTGGCCCTTAACACCTTTTAGCATTTTTATTGACTGAGGTTTTAATTTACTGAGATTCCTATTGGAGTGTGTGTGTGTGTGTGTGTGTGTGTGTGTGTGTGTGTTAAGCAGAATAGACTGAATAGTGTAATGAACTCCCACATACCCACCACCCAGTCCCAGCAACCATCAATACATGGTGAATCCTACACTACCTACTCTTGCTTCTCCTGTATTGTCTTGAAATAAATCTCAGATATTTCATTAAATATTTATAAATATTACTTTAAAATATTTTTATTTATTTCAGAGAGGAAGGGAGAGGGAGAGAGAGATAGAAACATCAGTGATGAGAGAGAATCATTGATTAGCTGCCTACTGGGGGTTGAGCCTGCAACCCAGGCATGTGTCCTTGATCAGAATTGAACCTGGAACCCTTCAGTCTGCAGGTCAACACTCTATTCACTAAGCCAGACCAGTTAGGGCAATATTTATAAGCTAGAGACCAGGTGCATGAAAATTCATGCAATGAAGGGGGGGGGGTCCCTCAGTCCAGCCTTCCCCCTCTCACAGTCCGGGAGCCCTCAGGGGCAGGAGGCGACCTGGTCATCAGGGGAAGGTGACGTCCCATCACACTTCTGCTGCTGCCACTGCCAGCAGCACAAGCCTTGGCTGTCCCTGTTACCTGAGTCTCAGGTGGCCCTCGGTGGCTGGGCAGCCACCATCTGAGGCTTGCCTGTATCTTGGACAGCTGGGGGACTGAGAGGACTGGGGGACTCTGGAGGCAGGTGCGTGGGGCAGGCCTGTCTCCCCGTTAGGGCTGAGAGGATTGGATGCCATCATCTTGTGACTGTCGGCACTGCCATCTTTGAAGGTGGGGCAGTCAATTAGCATAGTCCCTTCTTATCGGCTGTGGGTACTGCCATCTTTGTGACATTGCGAGGGTCAATTAGCATATTCCCTCTTTATTAGATAGGATATTTCAATAAGTATCCCTAAAAGATATGGAATTTAAAAAAACTACAATGCTATTAACATCAGGGATTCTAAAGTTTACTGCCTGCCTGGCTGGCATGGCTCAGTGGTGGAGCATTGACCTATGAACCAGGTCATGGTTCGATTCCTGGTCAGTGAGAGTTGCAGGTTGAATCCCCAGTGGGGGTGTGCAGGAGGCAGCCGACCGACGATTCTCTCATTATTGATGTTTCTATCTCTCTCCCCCTCTCCTTTCTTCTCTGAAATCAATAAATATATATATTTATAGTGTCCCTGGCTTTCATAGACCTCAAAGGGCAAGAACCATACATCAGATAATGGAATAGGTAAGAATATCAAGGAAGAGAGATAGCAGCTCTTATACATAAAAGGACAGGAATTTATGTCAGACTTAATCTCTTATAGGGTTACATGATGAAAAAGGGTCATAGACGGAAAAATTGGACTGAACGCTGGTTTGTACTAAAACCCAACGTTATCTCTTATTATGTGAGTGAAGATCTGAAAGACAAGAAAGGAGACATTTTCTTGGATGAAAACTGCTGTGTAGAGGTAAGAGCCTACTGTTACCTCTTTGTGGTGCTGCCCCCTGCTGCTCACGTAGCATATCTTGTAGACTTCAGGGCCTTAAAATAATCTTAAAACATAATATAGGCTAAAGTTGCAATAAAAATTTAAGATACCTGACAATTTTTTTTTCTAATATGAGTTCGTCTTCTGTCTTATACTCGTGAAGAAAGGATAGGAATTAAACCGCGTTTGTACATTTACGGAATCATTTATTGAATATAATGGAGTCATCAAAAGAAAATAAAGCAAAAAAAAAAAATCAGTTGAAATAATGAACATTCCAGAAATTCTGGGCCATTTTGAGTGCAGTGAATAAAACTGAAGAGGAAGTGAGCAATATCTTTGAATATTTTTTAAAATTAAATATGTTTTATTGATTTTACACAGAGGAATTGAGAGGGATAGAGAGTTAGAAACGTCGATGAGAGAGAAACATCGACCAGCTGCCTCTTGCACACCCACTGGGGATGTGCCTGCAACCAATGCACATGCCCTTGACCGGAATCGAACCCGGAACCCTTCAGTCCCCAGGTCGATGCTCTTCCACTGAGCCAAACCGGCTTTGGCAAGTGAGCAATATCTTTGAATATTTTGAGTGACTTTCAGTACAACTTATTCATAACTGTTAATTCTGTCAGGAAGTGAAGTCCTCGAGAACATACGTTTTTGAGTATTTGTATCTGAACTGTTCCCGGGCCTGTCTTTGTTGGAGAACATTTCGAATACCTACGATCTCTCATAAACGATATGAAATGGTATCGCTCTAGGGTGTGCAATGCCCATTAAGGTTTTTTTTTTTTTTTTAAAGACTCAGCTAAACATGAAGTCACAAAGATTACAACAGCCATACCGGTCTCGTAGGGAAGTAGGGCAGGGACCCCAGCTTGCCGGCACAGACTCCAAGTGTGAGGCGCGAGGAGGGCACACCTCTGGCCGGTGTGGGAATCCTTCTGGCTTAGCAGCCTCTTAGCTCATGGGAGGGAGGACCTGTAGGAACTCCGAGGGTTGCCTCCCAGGGTTCTTGTCAGGGATGTGCTCAGCGTGCGTCCCTGTGCTTAGGGAAGCCCACAGCCTGGCCCCAACAGGGGGCCGCTCTCCTCGTCAGGAGTTGGTGTGCTGATCAGGAGCCATTGTTCCCACAAATAAAGTTGCCCACTGGATAGAATTAGTGACTCAGTTAAATGCATTTAGAGGTATTTTCCATTGACATTGAATTCCGCCAGATGTGTATAAATAATTAAGGTGGAATTTAATTTAAAAACTTAAAAAATAATATCTTAGCCTTGGCCAGGTGGCTCAATTGGTTAGAGCCATGGTCAGCAAACTGCGGCTCGCGAGCCACATGCAGCTCTTTGGCCCCTGGAGTGTGGCTCTTCCACAAAATACCACGGCCTGGGCGAGTCTATTTTGAAGAAGTGGCGTTAGAAGAAGTTTGTTTAAAAAATTTGGCTCTCCAAAGAAATTTTAATCACTGTACTGTTGATATTTGGCTGTTGACTAATGAGTTTGCTGACCATTGGCCTGATGTGCCAGGGTTGTGGGATGGATCCCGGGTCAGGCACATACAAGAAGTAACCAAGGAATGCATAAATAAGTGGAACATCAGAAATCTATGTTTTTCCCTCCCTCCCTCCCTCTCTCTGTAAAAAAAATAAAAAATAAAAAATAAAAAAATCTTAAAGAACTAACTTAGCTTTCTGTTTTAGTCTTTGCCTGACAAAGATGGAAAGAAATGCCTTTTTCTCATAAAGTGTCTTGATAAGACCTTTGAGATTAGTGCTTCCGATAAGAAGAAGAAGCAGGAGTGGATTCAAGGTAAGGTGACTTTTACTATTGGTCATGATATTACTCGAAAGCTCTGACTTGCTATTTTTGAAGCTCATGAAAGATATTAAGGCCTTGTTCCCTCATTGTCTGTGTTCGTACTGGGTGTAACATGGTAGCTTAAAGAAAAACAAACCAAGAGCAGTTTCCAAATTTTTAGTCAATTTCATTTTTGTAATCATCTTACGGGAAAATTATAAACTGGACATTTTGAGTCTTATTTACTTCTACTATTTGAAGAGTGTGGAATTTCCTCTTTTAAAAACTGTGAAGAGCCGAAACCAGTTTGGCTCAGTGGATAGAGCATCAGCCTGCAGACTGAAAGGTCCCAGGTTTGATTCCGGTCAAGGGTATGCACCTTGGTTGCGGGCACATCCCCAATAGGTGGTGTGCAAGAGGCAGCTGATCGATAATTCTCTCTCATCGATGTTTCTAACTCTATCCCTCTATCTTCCTCTCTGTAAAAAATCAATAAAATATATTTTAAAAAAAACAACAACAACTGAAGAGTTTTAAAGTGACCATCAAAGAATGAGACACTATATATTAGATTTTTTTAAATGATGGAGATTCTGAATATGATATTCTTAGACTTAGTTATGTTACTGGGACCCCCTTATTTTTTTTTTAATTTTTTTTTTAGTCCATGTGCCTGTGTGGACTGGCCAAACACACGCAGGCGCAGGAGTTTGCAGTAGAGAGAGAAAAATAGTTTAATATTGAAGTGACCAATCCAGAGATGGGGAGCTAACGCTAAAAACCTCCGTGGCACATTATATAGGGCAAAGGTTAAGATTATATAGGGCAAAAATCACAAGACGCGCTGGGAGCTGCCTGGTTGGAGGTGAGGTAAGGGTAATGAATCATTTCTTCGGGTCTGGAGGACAGGTCTGAGGTCTGCTCAGGTAACCCTCTGTCTGGGCTCTCAGGAAAGTAGCTGGGTATCTCCATTTTAGGGCTCAGGAGCCGAAACATAACTGAGGTCAAGATGTTATCTGTAGTCTGGACCTTGTGACCATTAGTCAGGTCTGGGCTGGCTCCTGCTGCCCTGGGGGTGGCTGATTATCTGGGGGAAAGGCGAGGTTGCTGAGGGGTATCCCGAGAGAACTAGTATTTTTAGAGCCAGGATGTAAAACTAAATTTAATCAAAGTCATGGGGACCCTTAGGGTCAGGCAAAAATGGATTACATTGAAAGTTGTGCTCTTTTTTGATGTGGTTTAAGTGTGTGAGGCAAGCCCAGCTGGGTTTGACTTGTCTTCCCCGAGTCACGTGGGCTGAGTTATGAATTCCGTAGCTGTTCTCCTCTCCTAGGGAATGGGAACAGTAACAATACTGCCCTCTGGGGTTGTTATAAAGGTTAATAATTAGATAATGAAGTTATACTTAAAATGATATTTAATGTATTTAAAATGGCACAGCCTTGCAGAAATGCTTGTGATATGTTGCAAGCAACCTAAATGTCCATTGATTGGGAAATGGTTGAATACAGTGGGGTACTGTGCAGTGCACTTTGTGTAGTGATATGAAAGCTCTCAAGGATAAATTAAATGAGAAAGCCAAGGCTCAGAGGGGTGTGCTATGCCCCTGTTTGTGTCAAAAGGAGGCGGAGGATGTATATACATATTTACTTGTATATTCTTAATCTGTTTCAGGAAAGATGCACAAGGAACTGTTAGCGGTAGTTTACGGTGGAGAGGGAACCCGGTCCTGGGGGTAGGAGTAGGAGAGAGACTTCCTCTGTGCTTTCATGCTTTTGAATTTGAACAAAAGTATTAACTATAAAAAAAATTTATACAGCCCTAATCGCTTTAGTTTAGTGGATAGAGCGTCAGCCTGCGGACTGAAGGGTCCCAGGTTCGATTCCGGGCAAGGGCATGTACCTTGGTTGTAGGCACTTTCCCAGTATGGGGTGTGCAGGAGGCGCTAATCGATGTTTCTCTCTCACTGATGTTTCTGACTCTATCCCTCTCCCTTCCTTTCTGTAAAATATATATATATATATATATATATATATATATATATATATATATATATATATTTTTTTTTAATATATTTTATTGATTTTTTTTTACAGAGAGAAAGAGAGAGGAATAGAGAGTTAGAAACATCGATGAGAGAGAATCATTGATCAGCTGCCTCTTGCACACCCCCTACTGGGGATGTGCCCACAATCAAGGTACATGCTCTTGACCGGAATCGAACCCAGGACCTTTCAGTCCACAGATCGACGCTCTATCCACTGAGCCAAACCGGTTTCGGCAATAAAATATATTAAAAAAAATTTATACAATTGAAACCATCAGGAAATAAATTTGGTTTTATTTAAAAATTAGATAATGCACGGAAAGGGTACACATATAGTCAGGATTCAATAAATGGTGACTACTATTGACATCTCAGGAAGCAGGGATAAGGGAGCCGTTTTCTTTTTTTTTTTTTTTTTTTTTTTTTTTTTTTTTAAGCAATCTTTATTGTTCATATTATTACAAAGGTTCCTCATTTCTTCCCCCCTCCACCAGGTTCCCACCCCACCCTCCGTCCCCCCCCATCCCCCATTGTCCTCATCCATAGGTGCAGTTTATGTTCAGTCTCTTCTTCCCTCAATTTCCCCAATAGTAAATCCCTTTTCAGATAGTAAATCAGTTACTTAGCATTTTCTCATATCAATAATACCTCCACATGCCCAATGATACACTTCACACAAAAGACATTTCCCACTAGGTCAACCAGCCTCATCCAGGCCCCACCCAAGGCACTCACAGATCAACACCCCAGTCCTAAACTAACTCAACACATCCAGATCTAAGCCTTCATCACTTGATTCAGCAGACCCTCAAGTTCCCACGAAAGTTTCCAGCCATGTCTGAGAAGCAGCCGTGGGGCAGGGGCAGGCAAGGAGCGAGCTGTTCTGGGCCTGGCTGCTCAGGGCCTGACCTCTGTTGCTCTGGTTCATTCCACAACCAGCTGCTCCGGGTCTGGTCACTGCCGCTCCCAACCTAGTTGCTCTGGACTTGGCTGCTGCTGCTCCGGGCCTGGCCGCTCCCAGCCTGGCAGCCGCTGCTCCGGGCCTGGCCGTACCCGACCCGGCTGCTCCCCCGGGCCTGGCCGCTCCCAGCCTGGCAGCCGCTGCTCCGGGCCTGGCCGCACCCGACCCGCCTGCTCCCCCGGGCCTGGCCGCTCCCAGCCTGGCAGCCGCTGCTCCGGGCCTGGCCGCACCAGCCCCGCCTGCTCCCCCGGGCCTGGCCGCTCCCAGCCTGGCAGCCGCTGCTCCGGGCCTGGCCGCACCCGACCCGCCTGCTCCCCCGGGCCTGGCCGCTCCCAGCCTGGCAGCCGCTGCTCCGGGCCTGGCCGCACCCGACCCGGCTGCTCCCCCGGGCCTGGCCGCTCCCAGCCTGGCAGCCGCTGCTCCGGGCCTGGCCGCACCCGACCCGGCTGCTCCCCCGGGCCTGGCCGCTCCCAGCCTGGCAGCCGCTGCTCCGGGCCTGGCCGCACCCGACCCGCCTGAGGGAGCCGTTTTCAAAAGGCACAGTTGTCTGGCAAACACAGCACAGCAGGTAGCAAATCAGATACCGGAACTTTGAATCTGAGCCCTTCCTATGCCTAAATCTTAGCCTTTTGAGAAGTATGGGGAAGGGAGTTGAAAGCGTAATTTATTTGAAAGTGTTGTTTTAAATAAATTCTTCACATGTGTGTGGTGTTCCTGAATCAAGCATCTATTTAAGCACAGATGTGTAATTTTGGAATGTTGGAGCTAAAAGTGACTTTAGAGATGATCTCTCTCGTTTTAGAGACGAGGAAACTGATGCTCAAGCCACGGTGTGACCTCGGTGACTTGCTCAAGGTCACCCGGTCCGTCCTCGGTGGCAGAGTCAGAATCTACCCTGAGGCCGGTCTGGCTTTCTTCCCGCTGTGCCATGGGCGTGTTAGGGTCCCACAGAGTGACGGGCGTTTCCTGTGCTTTCTCCCGCCCTTTCACAGCCATCCACTCCACCATCCACCTGCTGAAGCTGGGCAGCCCCCCGCCACACAAAGAGGCCCGCCAGGGCCGGAGGGAACGCCGGAAGAAGCTGCTGGCTGAGCAGGAGGAGCTGGAGCGGCAGATGAAGGAGCTCCAGGCCGCCAACGAGAACAAGCAGCGGGAGCTGGAGACCGTGAGGAAGGTGAGGAGAGGGGCGCGGACGCCGGGCTGGGCCCGGACGGCTCTTTGCAGGGCCAGAGCCACAGCTGCCTCACCTCCGAGCTTGGTTTTACCAAGACCAGCTTACTGCAGATTGCCTAGAATGCACGAGCACAAGAGAGCGAACTTCTTTGTTTAGGGGATTAAGTGTCTCAAATCTACGCGCGCTACCCTGTTTCCCTGAAAACAAGACAGTGTCTTATATTAATTTTTGCTCCCAAAGATGTGCTAGGTCTTATTTTCAGGGGATGTCTTATTTTTCCGTGAAGAAGAATACCGTACACATTTATTGTTAAATGAAAATAAAGGAAATTTATTACCTGTATACAGTACGGTAGTACGGTAGTTGTCAACACAAACCAGACAAACTGTGAATCCCTACAGTATCAAGAATCTACTCATTTATTCAATGACAATCATGTCATCATCTTCTGGAACATCATCATAACAATCCAATTCCTGAATTTCCTGGTGAATTTCTTGTGACTCCATTTCTTTCAGAATCAATGGACCAAATCTCTCATGTTTAGCTTAGGGGGGCCTTATTTTTGGGGGGCTGCCTTATATTTCACTCAGAAGGAAACCTGTAAGTAGGTCTTATTTTTGGAGGATGTTTTATTTTCGGGGAAACACGGTAGCAGTGGCCACGCCGACTCTGGCCAATAATCTGTTCCCGGGTGTGACTGACAGGAAAGCACCCTCCCTATTTCATCCAAACTTTACTGGGCCTGCGTCTGTATCAGCCCCACTCCTTCCCCCTGAGATGTGCAGGGAATAGACCAGACCAGTGACTCCCGGGGAGCATAAAGCCGCCGCTTCCTGGCGAAGCTGCACAGGACCTGCCCATAGTGCTTGGCCTTCCTCTGCTCCTCTCCTGTTGTTCATAACGAGGTTAATTACAACGGGATCAGTATAAGGCCCCTCCTTCCTGGTGCGATTCTCTCTTTGCAACCCAGGGAAATGCCGCACTTCATGCTGACTTCCTCCTCGTGGACTCCCAAAGATTTTTTTAAAATATAGTTAGACAATGTTAAGAACCATGTGGACATACAATCTTAGAAATAGCTGTGTTCCTATCCAGCACATCTTTCTAAAAGCAGCTCTAGCCCAAACCGGTTTGGCTCAGTGGATAGAGCGTCGGCCTGTGGACTGAGAAGTTCCAGGTTCGATTCCGGTCAAGGGAATGTACCTTGGTTGCGGGCACATTCCCGGTAGGGGGTGCGCAGGAGGCGGCGGCTGGTCGATGTTCCTCTCTCATTGATGTTTCTAGCTCTCTATCCCTCTCCCTCCCTCTCAATAAAAAATCAATAAAATTAAAAAAATAATAAAAAAATAAAAGCAGCTCTAAGGTCTTGCTGCTCTTCTTCCCAAATCACTCCTGCATCTCGCCCCTTCCCGCTGTCGTAATTCTTCTTTAAAACCCCCCTCACAGGCTCGGACGAGCCCCGGCAGCAGGAGATTGCTGCTCCCCCCACCCGCTGTGCACAGCGTGCGTGGGTGTTACGAGTGGGGACCCGGACGTGGTGCCCCCCCTTTATAACTTAGGAAATGGGTCACACCTACAAAGGAGAGCGTGAAATACGTGTATACAAATACAGCGACTGTTTCTGAAAGTACTAACCAAGGTAGGATAGAATATTGCCAGTAGTTTAGAAGCTCCTGTGTCCTGTCTTTAAAAGAAATTTGTGAGCAGCAAGTTTGTGGTTTATGTTTGGTTTTGTGAGTTTTTATACACGTCTAGACTCCTGCAACTACCACAGACAGAATACAGACAAACTCCAATACCCAAAGGATTTCCTCACTCTGCTCCTTGTATTCAGACCCTCCCCTTACCCCAACCCCTGGAAACAACCCATCTGTTCTGTTCCTGGGTATTTTGGCCTTTTCCAAATTCTCATATAAATGGGATAAGTCAGCATGTTTGTTTTCATGAGTTCTTTCACTTGGCATCGTGCATTTGAAATTCATCCATCTGGTGTCCTTTCAAATTCCTTTGAACTTGGCCTTCCAGTAGCACGCAGGTCTCCCTGCCTGCTCTGTGATGTGAGTGCTTGCCTGAGGTGACAGGGCCTAGACCACTTGGACAGCTTTCTTATTACATAGCTTCATAGATTTATTTTTATTTGTATTGTTATTGACTCCAGAGAGGAAGAGAGAGGGAGATATAGATAAAAACATCAATGATGAGAGAGAATCATTGATCAGCTGCCTCTTTTATACCCCCCATTTGGGATTGAGTTCCCAACCCAGGCACGTGCCCCGACCGTGAATCAAACCTCTGGCCTCCTGGTTTATAGGTCAAGGCTCAACTACTGAACCACTGAGGCCGGGCTTACGTGTTTTTTTTTTTTTCAATATATTTTATTGATTTTCACAGAGAGGAAGTGAGAGGGATAGAGTTAGAAACATCGATGAGAGAATCATCGATCAGCTGCCTCTTGCACACCCCCTACTGGGAATGTGCCTCCAACCAAGGTACATGCTCTTGACCGGAATCGAACCCGGGTCCCTTCAGTCCTCAGTCCGAAGCTCTATCCACTGAGCCAAACTGGTTTCGGCTTAAGTGGTTGTTTTTAATCGTCGTTTCACTGGGAAAGGGAGTGTGGAGCTCCTGAGGCCACCCTCCTGGGAGTCGGGCTCTCGTAAGGTTTAAGGAATAATGTGACCATTCTGTACAGTAAGAACCCAGGCAGTAGGTCTCAGACCTCATGAATGCACTTGCAACTGAATGTGACTCAGTGGTTCCATTGCAAAACGCTCTTCAGACTTATCAGCAGTCACTGATTTAGCTAATTTGTTTTGTATGTTGACTGGGAAAAATTATTGGAACGGAAGTCTAGCAGATCCAAAAGTTTTGCGCTGTGTTTATGGGACATTAAGGAGGCTTGGATTCTCGCACGTGGTTAAGTGTGACCATTTCTCTCTCCAAATGCATTTCTATGCGTGGCTTTCGATCGGGTAGAAACTGGAAGAAGCGGCCTCTCGGGCAGCAGAAGAGGAAAAAAAACGCCTGGAGACACAAGTGGAGCTGCAGGCCCGGTTCAGCACGGAGCTGGAGCGGGAGAAGCTGGTGAGTCCCGCCCGCCTGCCGGCCGGGGGCGCCGCTCCCGGAGCCCGCCTGGGGGTGGGTGAGGGCCGAGGGGCTGCAGGGAGGCCGTGTGTCAGCGTGGCTCTGCTGCTGGCGTGCCGTGGGCTTTGGGGGAAGTTGTGTGTCTGTTCGTTCACCCATTGTCGGTTTACTGAGCACCTTCTGCGTGCCGAGCACCGAGCCCAGGATGCAAAGGTATAAAAGACGTAACCCTGGCTTCCAAGACCCTGAAGTGGAAATTTAAGGAAGGGGGTGATAAGGGCTGTGGTCAGGGTGGCTGTGCCTTGGTTTGACTGGACAGTCAAACTGCGGCTTGTGAGCCACATGCGGCTCTTTGGCCCCGTGAGCGTGGTTCTTCCAAAAAATACCTCATGCGGGTGTGCCCAGCCTCTGCCATCCTGGGATCATTATTACCAACATCCCTTTTCCTTCCCAACGTGTCCTGGCGTGGGAAATAAATAGCTGTGGGAAAAGTGCACATCGGCTCCATGACATTTCCCCTCTGTAATGCGCCGAGCCCGAGGTCCTGGAATCATGAAAACACACGGATTCTGGTCTGTTGCCCTCAGATTCATTTAAGGCAGTGGTCGGCAGACCCATTAGCCAACAGAGCCAAATATCAACAGTGCAACGATGGACATTTCTTTTGAGAGCCGAAAACTGACTTCTGTGCATGGGTGTAGTTTCTGACCCGGACTCTGTGGGTGTGGTTCCGGTGTTGGTGTTGGGAGGGTGGTGCTCGATTCCTCTGTTCTGCCGTTAAGGATGGAGGGCAGGCCCCACCGTCCTGCTGGGCTGGTGGTGGCGGCGTGGGAGGGTCTCCCTGAGCGTGGGGCCCGCCTGCGTGTGAACGTGACCCCTTTCTCCCGTCAGATCCGACAGCAGATGGAAGAGCAGGTTGCCCAGAAGTCCAGTGAGCTGGAGCAGTACCTGCAGCGCGTGCGGGAGCTGGAGGACATGTACCTGCAGCTGCAGGAGGCCCTGGAGGATGAGCGGCAGGCCCGGCAAGACGAGGAGACAGTGCGGAAGCTCCAGGCCAGGTACCCCCCGGCTGGGTGCTCGCCTTTGCACGGTGTCTGCAGTGACTCACACTGGTAGAGAGGGAGGGGGTGCCCTATTGGAGAGACCTGGAGGTGCGGTGGCTGCATGGTCTGTTCTCAGGCCGGGCGCTGGGAGAGCCTGGCTTCTGGGCCTGCGACTGCCCGGAGCAGTCTCGGGGTATTGGATGGGGTGCCCCGCCAGAATCCCCAGGGACCCAGGATCCGCTCTGGTGGGACCCTGGCCTCGCCGGCATGTTCCGGACCAGAGAAGGGCCCTTGGTATGGAGATGGGGGCCTGCTTCACGCCAGCGTTGCAGCCGCTTTGAGGGGACGAGGAGGAAACAAGCAGTTTTCGGTTGGTCATTCAGGATTAGTGAGATTCTTTAAATAATTGTTATCCAGAATCTTGCTTTCAGAACTTCTTAAAGCTAGACTGTCTTTTCCCGTAGAGCAGGGGAGGGGCACGTCTGGCCCCTGGGCCCTATAGGTCCCTGGAATCATTTGGTCTGAAATTCAATAAACCTAGGAGCTTTTGTCATTGCAACATATCTTTATATTAAGTGAATTATATTAAGTGGATGATGTTATAAATATCTAAATGGCCCCTGGCAGCAAAAAGGTTCCGCACCCCTGCTTAGAGCTTGCAGAGTCAGGTGTACTATTTATGACAGTCTTGTTTTTGGCTGAGAACTCTGGGATTTTGGTCTTTGCAGCAGCAGGAGGACGGGGTAGAGGGAAGACCCGAACGTGAAGTTGGGGCTCTCCACTTGCTCCCCCATTTGTGTTCTTTGAGATTCTTGTCCCCCCTAAAAGCATCGACCCCGGTGGCCCGCTGGGCAGTGCAGGTGCGCGCCGGCTTCGGCTGTGGCTCCGTTTCGGGGCAGGTCTCCCACGGCTGCTATTCTGTGGAGCGGCAGAGGAGGCTGGCTTAATATTTAGGCAGGCAGAGAAGAGAGGAGGTCTTCGTCGTATGCTTTGCCAAAATGACTTTAAAAATAAATAGGTTTTGAAAATTTCAATTCTATTAAGGGAAAATTGTCTTCTAAGTAGAAAATCAAATGGTTCGCATACTGCCTGGCCTTTACAGTCCCACAGGTGTGTGCTCAGTGTCCTGTGATGTTAACTATCGAATAGATTCTTAGAACTGCCACCCAGTCGCCACTGGCAGTGATGCTGGCACAAGGTTCACTTACTGGGAAGGTTTGAGTCCCATGTGACTTCTATGGAGAGGCATTCTACAGGCACAAGATGTATTTGGCCTCTTTATAATTTCTGGTGTGTTGGGGGATTATAGGTTACCCTGTGCAGAGAATTAACGGTGAGCTATGATATATATTTTACTTCCCCGCAGTTTTGAGAGAGGTTGATTATAACACAGCAGAGATTCGATCACAGAGGGAACCAGATATCTCTAGAAATGTATTAAAATACTAGAGGCCCAATGCACAAAAATCATGCAAAACTTTGCCTTCCTTCCCTCTGCTGCCTGCACCAGCTTCCCTCCAGCATCTGGGACCCGGACTTTGTCCAAAAGGTCATTCAGAAGGATGTCCGGTCTAATCAGCATAGTATGCTTTTATTATTATAGATTAGTTATTTTGTATTTATCAAATGAATGCTCTTTAAGGGGTAATTTTGGATAAAACTTTTGGCTTTTAGTGGTAAATATTAGATTCACCTGTAAAGTTAAAAAAAAAAAATACCACACTTAGGGCCTGTCCCTCTTTTACTGAATCAAAATATCTGTGGGTAGGACCCAGGAATGAGTATTGCTATTTAAAAAACTCTGGCTAATTATTTTGTACATTCTGATTTAAGTCCATAGCAAAGTGGTTTCAACCTTCTGAATGCAAATGTAGCTATTACATATGTACAGATTTGCACCAATAAACTGAAATTACTGCTCAAAAATTAACTTTTTCTTGATGTGCAAAGGCCACTTTATGAATATAATTATTTTATTACTTTAAATTATTTTTCTTTCTACTTAGTTTTTGGAAATTGAAATGGATAAACGGACGCCCTCTGGTGGTCATTTCTAAGCACGGCCAGTCCGGAAGGCGGGGCCTGGTTCAGAGGGTCATTTTGTCAGATTGGCAAAGGGGGCTTTCTCCTTGCTCCCACTCCCACAGGCCTTTCTCGGTAGCAAATCAAGGGAAATGCTCATGGAGATGAGATAGGAACACTTAAATCTCCCTCTGAGGAAATGAAACTACCTTAGGTGAAGGGCATATGTTGAGGGCTTTTTGGTTAATCCTTCGCCCTTTCTTTGGGCAATATTTTCCTTCTTGGAATAGTTGGCATCTCATTCTTCCACTGGATGACCCTTTCTCTGGCATTGTCTTAACATTAACTCAGTATTTCCTCAGAGATACTTTATTTTTACTTTTAAATATGTTTTCTTCATTGATTTTAGAGAGGAAGGGAGAGGGACAGATAGAAACATTGATGAGAGAGGAACATCACTAATTGGCTGCTTCCTGCATATCCCTCCCTGGGGACCGAGCCCACCACCCAGGCATGTGTCCTGACCGGAATCCATCCAGCGACCTCTTGGTCTGGGGTCGATGCTCAACCGCCGAGCCACTCCGGCCAGGCTCCCAGGATGCTTTATATGAGAGCAAGAACTTAGACTTGCGCCATCTGGGTCTTGTCAATTTCTTGATACATTAAAATTAAAGTTTATTTTTTTGATGTGTAACCTGTAGGTCGATAGCCTCTTCTGAATGGGAACTCACAAGAAAACTGTTCAGTTGACATTGGGAAATCCCAACTATTGGAGCGTTCTTGAGGCTGAGCCATAACATGTCCCATTATGACTTCTGCCCAGTATGACTAGACTGTGTGGGTTCCTCAGAGAGAAAGGCGGTGAGGCGTGCCATTAGAGTCCACTCAGGAGATGGAACCCACTCAGTCATGTCTGCAGTCTCAGCAGCTGGTGCCGTGCCTGGCACACGACAGGCGCCCACGGTATTTTGTGAGTAAATGGACCCACGTTCGACTCACTGGGGCCTCTCGGAGCAACAGTCTTTTCCACGTGTGATTCTTTTCATGTTGTGAAGGCGGTGAGGAGCCGAGCTCTGGAGTGAGGCCTGGGTTTGGTGCTCAGCTACTTTTTAGCTGTGCAACTTTAGAGAAGCCATTTCAGTGCGTTGAGCCTTCAGTTCCTTATCGATAGACGAAGGCTAACTGCCAACCTTGCAGGGCTGAGGAGATGACACAAGATAATGCATGCAGACTGCTTGTGGAAGGCCTGGCGTTTGCTAGTCACTCCGAGTGTTGGCTTCTGTTCCTTTATCTCGTTTGCAGATGAGGAAGAGAGATAACATGTAGAATGTAAAAATAAGAATTCTTCAAAAGATACTGACCAGTTGGAATGATGGTTTGATACCAAGAAGACAGTTTACAATAGCAACAGAAGCCAGCTGGCGTGGCTCAGTGGTTGAGCTTCAACCTACGAACCAAGAGGTCACGGTTAGATTCCTGGTCAGGGCACATGCCTGGGTTGGGGGCTCAGTCCCCAGTGTGGGGTGTGCTGGAGGCAGCCGATCAATGATTCTCTCTCATCATTGATGTTTCTATTCTCCCTCTCCCTTCCTTGCTGAAATAAATTTTTTAAAAAATTAAAAAAAATATATTAACCGAGCAAGTGCAGGGTCCAGGAGACCTGGCTGACTAGAAATTCATTTGAAAAGACTCCGAGTTTTACTTCCTTGTGATGTGACTGCCAGAAGCCTCACCTACTCTCAGATGCCTCAGTGAATGTGAGAATCCAGAGCTAATGAGGCAATAATTCCTCCGTAATAACAAAAGCTGCTTCAGTCAGCATTTTCTACGTGATAGGTACTGTCCTAATACCTCACGCGCATTGTCACATTTAATGCACCACCAAACCTTTGATGGTGGGTGTTGTTCCTATAATTTTTCTGAAAATGAGGAAACAGAGAGCTTAGATTCTTCGGTCAGGGGCTTGTTTGCAAGCCACAGAAACCAACTTGCATTAGCTAAAACAATAAAACGATCTGTGGAAGGTTCTTAAGTAGCTCACCAGTTCCACGGAACAGCAGGTGGCCAGGCCTGGAGCCCAGGCAGGGACCAAACCTCTGCCCACACCAGCCACTGCCAACCTTGCAGGAGGCCGTGGTGCTGGCATGGGCACCGTTGCCGGTGGTTGCTCCTGCCACCACTAGGTTGTGGATATTGCTGCCACGGTGAGTTCCCTACCGTCTCCGCCCATTCCTCAGAGACAAAGGTCCCGGCGGCCAAGCAGCAGGGGGAGCAGGTGTCACCTCCTGCTTCTGTAGCTGGAGATGTGCCCTGCTTTCCATCAAGACACCGTCAGTGCCAGGGTCTCTAGACGGATGAAGGGGATTCAGATGCTGGCCGTCTACACGCTGCCAGTGTCCACCCCCTCCGTCCTTCTCCCTGGGGCGAAGACGCAGGCCCTGCCAGTCTCATTCACTGCTGTGACCTGGTACTGGAAAGGACCACAAATGGGGCATAGGTCCACGCGAGTGCGGGAATAGACTCTGCTGGTCAGACCACACGCAGAGTGTGCCCATTGCAGCCCAGGAGACACCGAGGGGGCACCGCCTGGCCTTTGTGGAGCTGGGGATGGGAGGCGGGAGGGCCATCTTGGCGGAGGGAGACCTTTCCAAGGACTGAGGAAACTGGCCCCCAGTCTACAAAGCAGCGAGGGGCCCATCACACCGGGCACCCGAGCCGAGTTGGGTAAACACCTCGCAGGATGTTGTAGAGGGAATTTTGACAGAGCTGTGGTTGGGGTTCGAGAGGGGCAGTTGTGGGGGAGGAGCTCAGATAAGGGGTGTGGAGCTGTTCCTTTACTTCTTTTGTGTTGGTTTTAGAAGAGCAGACGTTCTGGGGCAGTGACTGGCCTCTGGGTGGTTTGTGACTAATGGTCCAGGCGCTGGAGGTGCGTCCCGTCCTGGGCTGGCATTTGATCAGTGTCTGTACTTTGAGTACAGGTTTGGGTTGTCTGTTGGTTTAGTTGATTTAAATACCTGAGTATCTGAGAGTTCTCAGACAGGTAGCCTGTTAGAGTAACACTAGGTGACCAGTGCACGAATTCGTGCACCTTGAAAGGAACTGTGGGCCATGAGGCTGCGGTGGGCACAGGGATGGGGCTTGGCCCGTCCTCTGTGCTCCCATCTGGCCCCTCCCACTGCAGCCCCACCCCCCCTCGTCCCTGTCTGCCTGCAGCCCTGCTCCTGCTGCTGCCGCTTTTCCCACGTACTGACAGTGCTGGCCCCGCCTGCACCCGCTGATGCTGATGGTACAGAGCAACTGGGGCTGGTGCCAGCAGTGGGTGCAAGCGGCGGCTGCTGCTCTGATCGCCCCTCAGGAGCAGGGGGCGGTGGAGAAGCCCTTAGGGGCGATTTTGGGGCTGGCAGCCACTGCTCACCTCACTAACCGTGCCGAGTGATCAGGGCCGGCATTGGGTGCGAGCAGTGGCTCTAGGACTGGCAGTGGGTGTGAGTGGAGCTGGCACCAGCAGTGGGTGTGAGGGCTGGGTGGGACTGTGGCGTGTAGGAGCAAATAATTTTCAGTAACCACCCCCAATGACAGCGACCAGCACCCCACTTTGGTCTGGTGCCCCCCCCCCCCCCCCCACACACACACCTGCTCCACCATCCCGCCATGGCGACGCCCTCCATGTTCTGCGCACACCCCCTGGAGGTCAGCACACATCATAGTGACCAGTTGTTTGGTTGTTCCAGTTCTGCTGTTTTTGTTTGGTCTGTTTGCATATTAGCCTTTTATTATATAGGATTTGGAGCCACACAGACCTGGGTTGGAACCCATGGCTACGTGTGCAGTTGGCTTTTCAGTGGCTTCACGTGTAACGGAGAAGGGATAGCGCCTTGTTGGTGGGGTTGATGATGATGAAGATGATGCTTGGCGTGTACTAATTGTTTAGTAAATGGTTTCTGTTATTATTCCACCTTTTGTTAGTTTCTTCTGTCCTCACCTTCGTTAGTTTATCAGCCTTTCCCTCTGTGGTAAGTTCTTACGGATGAAAGACATTTGAATGTTGGAGGAACCAGGGAAATTCCAGAATGGGGCCCTGCCACCTGCCAGGCCAATGCCCTGGGTGAGGCCCCTTATCCTTTGTGCCTCACTGTCTTCATCGTCAGCGTATTGTGAGGGATGACTAGGAGTGCACACAACTGTTGGCCCAGCTCGAGGCACAGTGAGCCTCCTTCAGTGCCATTAATTTTTTTTCCAAAAGAGGGTGAGACAGTTTGGAGCGGGAGGCGTGGGCCGCTCTGGGTCCGAGTTCCTCCTTGCAGCACGAGAGAGGGGTGCCTCGTCACGGGGGTCGGGTGTGGAGGCCTGGCCCATGGCCCTGCGCTCCTGTTGCAGGTTGCTGGAGGAGGAGTCTTCCAAGCGGGCGGAGCTGGAGCGGTGGCACCTGGAGCAGCAGCAGGCCATCGAGACGACGGAGGCCGAGAAGCAGGAGCTGGAGAACCAGCGCGTCATGAAGGAGCGGGCCCTGCAGGAAGCCATGGCGCAGTTGGAGCAGCTGGAGCTGGAGCGGAAGCAGGCGCTGGAGCAGTACGAGGTACCCTCCCTCCCGGCAAATGCTCCTTTATTTATTTTATTATTATTTTTTCCATTTTATTAAGGTATTATATGTATACATACCTTACCTACCCCCCAACTCCACTCCCGTACATGCCCTCCCTCCCCAGAGTCAAATGTGCATTTAAATGATTAAAAACAGGCCTTTTGTTTTGTTGTTAATCCTCACCCAGGATGTTTCCATTGATTTGTAGCGAGAGTGAGATGGAGGGTGAGAGAGAGAGAGAGAGAGACAGAGAGACAGAGACAGACAGAGAGAGAGAGAGACATCGGTGTGAGAGCCACATCTATTGGTTGCCCCTGCAACTGAGGTGCATTCCCTTGACCAGAATCGAACCCAGGACCCTTCAGTCTGCAGGTGGACGCTCTATCCCCTGAGCCACTCTGGCCGGGCAAACAAGCTTTTTTATTTTACTTTTTAAAAATATATATTTTATTGATTTTTCACAGAGAGGAAGGGAGAGGGATAGAGAGCTAGAAACATCGATGAGAGAGATACATCGACCAGCATGCCTCCTGCACACCCCCCATAGGGTATGTGCCTGCAACCAATGTACATGCCCTTGACTGGAATTGAACCTGGGACCTTTGAGTCCACAGGCCGATGCTCTATCCACTGAGCCAAACTGATTTCGGCAATCAAGCTTTTTTAAAATAAGAGAACATTTGCTCAGCGGCAAGAAGCCGAAGTAAGAATTTTGCTTAGCTGGAAGGAAGAAAAAGGTGGTGAGGCGTGCCAGTCAGAGTCCACTCAGGAGACGGAACCCACACAGTAATGGGAACGGGGAAAATTTAATATAAACAAGTATTAACTATAACCGGATTACCTATGAAGCGAGAAGGAAAACTCTGAGAACATGGGGACGGCAGGTGCAGGACTGAGGCAGAGCACCCAGGAAGGACAGGCCTGGAGGGTCCCCGTCAGCCCAGGGCTGGGCCCGGGCCTCCTTGGGGAGGCACAGCCGTGGCCACTGGACGGCGGGAAAGCTCCCCGAGGCGCTGTGCCCGCCGACCTCACTGGGGGCTGCCTCTGGGCCCTGGCCGGAGCTGCCACCGGGAGGGGCCACTGAATCCCCTGGGGGTGCCCCACGGGTGTCCCACGTGCCTCGGGAGCCGCTGAGAAGAGCCCAGTGGAACTGGGAAGCCACGCCCCTTCCCCCTTCAGCCCCCTCTGCTGACAGAGCTGAGATGGTGCCGGCTGTGGGGGAGGCTTACCCGGGAGCCGTGCTGGGCAATGGAGGGTGGACTTGACACTCACCTGTCATCAGTGTGGGCGAGGTCCTCGGTGTGGCCTCAGGCAGGCACCCAACTGCTCTGAATCCTAATTTTCCCTGCGAATGGGGGCACGATGGTTCGTGACTTACAGAGAAAGCCGAGCTTATGGGAAGGGGCCAGTTATTTTATTTATTTATTTTTAACTGCAGCTTCTGGGAGAAACTTGACCGTTTAAAAAATATATATTTTATTGATTTTTTAACTGAGAGGAAGGGAGAGGGATAGAGAGTTAGAAACATGGATGAGAGAGAAACATCGTTCAGCTGCCTCTTGCGCACACACACACACACACACACACACACACACACACCTCACCATTGGGGATGTGCCCGCAACCAAGGTACATGCCCTTGACCGGAATCGACCCTGGGACTCCTCAGTCCACAGGCTGACGCTCTATCCACTGAGCCAAACCAATCAGGGTGAGGGGCCAGTTATTTGGCTCTTCAGCTACCAGGGTGTGTTGCCAAATCAGAAACCTCCTCTGTTGCAGGGGGTTAAGCAGAAGCTGGAGATGGCCACCAGTAAGACCAAGAGCTGGAAGGACAAAGTGGCCCAGCACGAAGGGCTCATCCGCCTGATAGAGCCAGGTAAGGGCCGTGCGTGCGTGCGTGCGTGCGTGCGTGCGTGCGTGCGTGCGTGCGTGCGTGCGTGCGTGCGTGCGTGCGTGCGTGCGTGCGTGCGTGCGTGCGTGCGTGCGTGCGTGCGTGCGTGCGTGCGTGCGTGCGTGCGTGCGTGCGTGCGTGCGTGCGTGCGGTTTATCTCTGTTTCCTTGTGGACATATAAAGTGACGTATAAAGAAGCTTCTTCCGCCCTCGTGTAAGAAGCCCGCTGTTGAGGGGGAGCCTCTCTGACGTCCTTGCCCCGGACAGACCGCAGGCCGGCGCTCCCCGGTGCACAGCTCGGTGCTCCGGCCGCTGGGCCCGCGGTCGCTCCTGCAGAGGAGGCCCCGGGACAGGCCCGGGGCGGTCAGGTCACGTCGGGGCGGACACGGTCCTGCCTGTGTCTCAGGCCCGCTTGTCTTCCAGGTTCCAGGAACCCCCACCTCGTCACGCACTGGGGCCCGGCCGCCTTCACGCGGGCGGAGCTGGAGGAGCGCGAGAAGAGCTGGAAAGGGAAGAAGGGCACCGAGTGACCGGCCGGCCGCCGCCCCGTGGCTCCGCGGGCAGCCGGAGGGCTTTGTGCGGAAGGCAAACGGAACTGGCTTTGCTGCTTCTCACCTCTCTCCCTTCAGCCTCCCGGTCGGTCCAGACACTGCGGAAGCCTCGGCCGTCTTCCTGCAAATGAGGGCTCATCTGGGAAGGAAAAAACCAACACCGCCAGCTCCTCACAGACTCTTTCTCTGAAAATGGCCGCTCCTGGAAATCCCTCCAATTCTCGTCAGTGTCGCCCCGTCCTGCTGGGGGGCGGGCTGGTGCTCTGGGTCCCCGGGTGCTCGGACCTCTGTGGACTCGGGTCCGCCACCTCCCTCTGCAACATGTGTCCTCCTCCCCGTACCGGTGTCTAAGCTAGATTGGCAGTTTCCTGGCAGTTCACGCGGGGTGCCCCAACCATCCTGCTCCGAGCCGGGAGCCAGCAGCTGCTTGTGGTCCGAGCCTCGACTGAGCGGCCGCAGTCCAGGGTGTGGCTGTGCAGGTGTCTGTGTAAAGCTCGGCGCCACCGACTTACCTCTGGCTCCGGGGGCTGTCTGGGCAGTCGGCATCCTTTTAAACAGACACACACAGTAAGTCCTCAGTAGCATTATGGACAATGCTGGAACCTAAGGGAAGTGCTAAACCATCAAGGCCAGAGCTAAGTGTTCTTGGTTTCTCCTCAGCATGGTAACAAAACGGGGTTGCACAAAACGATGTCACTCAAGCACCTGCTATATTTAGGGATCAAAGCCCGTAGATGAACTGAGTGGATCCCGTTTGGAATGAGATCTTGAAAGTAGCTGAATTCCTCCTATGGTTTCAGTGGTCAGCGTGCTGACGGAGCCCGGTGTTACTTTTGTAGTTACTGTACAGAGCGTCTCAGGAGTGTGGGAACGCTTGTCCTACTCGGGCCTTTTCCCTAATAAACAGGCGTTATGAGATCATTTATAGGAAAACATTTTAAAAGTGTATTTTTGTCACGTGCCATCTTGAGAGGGAACAAAATATTTATAAATGTTCAAACATTCTTACCTAAATGTACAATGTAATATGCTGAACAATCTTAAATTTTTTTTGCTAATTTTCTAAGATATATTAAACATATTTTGTATGATTTTTAAAAAATGGACTTTTAAGAAAATAAAAAAACATACAACCCAGAGCAACATACATTTAAAACTGTCTGATTTAATAATAGGACCCTGGAGGTGTGTGTGTGTGTGTGTGTGTGTATGTATGTGTTTTCATACTAGGAGATGAGCTTGGGAGAGGGGCATTTCCTGGACACGCTGGGTGAGGAGTGTGGGCCTCACACCAGTGTTGCCCCTGAGTTGTGTGTGTGTGTGTGTGTGTGTGTGTGTGAGAGGAGTGTGGGCCTCACACCAGTGTTGCCCCTGAGTTGACCTTGGCCTTGTGTTCGGTGTCTGAGTCACGGATGTGGGTAACCATGTCAGCTCACAGCCGGGAACTTACAGAGACAATGCCTCCCTCATTGTTGCTCTTGCCTCTAAGCCCTCTTACCTCTGCTTCCCAGATTGATGTGCCTCTCTGTTTCCCCAGAGTAAACAGTGTGGTTTTGTGTTTGGTGCTAAGGCTGGTTCTGTTTTGTTGCCAAGAGTAAGACTCCTGCTGTGGACACCGGAGGCCACTCCTCCAACCTGGCGTCTCGGGAAGCTGACCTCTCCCTTCGAGAGAGAGGGTGTGCTGCCTGGTGTTTTGTTAAAAACCGATTTCGCCGCTGCAGTGACTCTCCACCAGCATGAGTTCGCCCCCCGGGGACACTTGGCAATGCCCGGAGACATTTCCGGTGGTCACAGCGGGGGTGTTCCTGGCATCCAGGGGGCAGAGGCCAGGGGTGCTGCCTCATGTCCCTCAATCCGCAGGACCGACCCCCCACCCCTGGTGCAAAGAACTGTCCTGCCTAGGATCTCAGCAGTGCTGAGGTTGCTCTACAGCAGTGTTTCCCAGACTTCTCTCATGATGAGAATCACCCGGTGGAGCTGTTAAACTGCAGATTCCTGAATCCCAACTAAGAAGTGCTAAACTAGAATTTTTGGGAACATATACGTAAAATTGTATACTTAACTAGTGCTCCGTCTCAGAGCACTAGTTAAGAATACAATTTTACCTATAGCTGGGATTCAGGAACCTGTAGTTTAACAACTCCACCGGGTGATTCTCATCACGAGACAAGTCTGGGAAACACTGCTCTCCAGAAAGGCCAGCTCTTCCCAGAACACGCCAGGCTCCGGGGGCAGGTTCCCTGTGAGGCAGGCGCCCGGGAGGAGGTATGAGCGGCCGCACCTGGAAGGGGAGAGGCCGGCGGCTCCGGGAGCCGGCAGAGCGCGGTGGGCAGGAGCTTTGGGCCTGCGCGGGGCCCTGAGCTCCAGAAACGCTGCCCGCCTCTTCCGCGGAGATCCGAGGAGCGGCGCTGGGTCTATCAGAGCCTGCGGTGCGGGTCGCTGAGGCGGGAGGGGTGAGAGCTGCCGCGACGCGGGCTTCCCTCCGGGAGGGCTGAGCTCTGCACCCGGAGGGGAGGGCCGGCCGAACCACCCGGCAGCCGGCGGAGACGGGCCCCGCGGAGCCGAGCGCTGCTGCAAAGCCTCCAACGGGGCTCAGCTGCCCCAGAGGAGCGGGGAGCGGCCAAGGCCAGGCCACAGGGCGGGAGAGGCTCTGTCAGCTCCAGGCTCGTGGAAAGAATCTGTCTTGGGATCAGTTTAAGGAATGTTCTCTCCCCCGCCCCCCCCCCCACACACACACTCTACATCCTTCTTTATTCATTCATTCATTCATTCATTTTTTAAAATATGATTTTTTTTTTTTTTTTTTTTTTTACAGAGAGGAAAGGAGAGGGACAGAGAGCCAGAAACATCGATGAGAGAGACTCATCGATCAGCTGCCTCCTGCACACCCCCTACTGGGGATGTGCCCGGAACCCAGGTACATGCCCTTGACCGGAATCGAACCCGGGACCCTCCAGTCCGAAGGCCGATGCTCTATCTGCTGAGCCACACCGGTTTCAGCTTTCTTCTGTGTTTCTACCCCGGCCCCCAGCTGACATGTCCACGCTCTCGTCCCAGGCTCAGCTCCCACTGCCCCTTCCGAGGAGGCCGAGCCTCCGGCCTGGGTGGTGGGTTAAACGGTGGCGGATCCGAGCTCCCCCAGGGCTGGCCTCCGATGGCGGCTGTGCCCACCGTGTGACAGCACCCTGTTCTTAGGGGCGCGCCCACAGGAATGAGGCCGTGCCCCCGCTGTGCCCACCTCCCCCGCAGCGGGCACAGTGCCCTGCTGGAGGCCCCATGTGAGGAGGGGGGTGAGGGAAGCTGTTTAGCAAACCCCCTCCCGGGCAGCCCACAGCCTGCCCCCTCCCCAACTGAGTCCCTCACTTCCTGTCCCGTGTCACCGGCCTCTTCCCCTCAGCCAACCCTCTGCCGGGAGCAGCAGCCCACGCCGGGGCACTGAGAGGGGTCAGCCAGGACCCCGGCTAGCTCTCCTGAGAGACACACTGTCTGTTCTCAGACTGGTTTCGGGGTGCCAGGACCGCTGCCACCCCTCCCCATCTGTCCCCCCCTCCCCAAGGAAGCCCAGGCCCTGCCCTCCTCTCGCTGCCGCCTCTGTCCAACACTGCCCACGGGGCTCTCTGCTCCCACTGGGAGGCATTTGTGTCTGAAACATTGGTTTACAGGGAACACACAGGCTGTTCAAGGAAGGTGCACGGGTCAGCCAGGGAAAGACAAGCATCACGGGATGTCGTTCGCATGTGGGATCTGATGAACCAAATAAACAGATGATCAAAAACAGGCCCAAAGGGAAGGGCAGAGGGTGGGGTGGGAACCGGGTGGAGGGGATCTATGGGGGGGGGGGCGGGGAAGAGGAACGATTGTAATAATCTGAACAATAAAGATTTATTTATTAAAAACAAAACAAAACACAATAGGCCCAGAGACAGAAGCATGAGCAGAGTTGAACTTCAGAGAGAGAGAGAGAGAGAGAGAGAAAGAGAGAGAGAGAGAGAGAGATAGGGAGCACGGGAGGGCGGGTGAGAAGAGAGCAACCAATGAACTTGTGTACATGCATAGCCCGTGCACAGACAATGGGGTGGGTGGGGGGAGGGTGAGAGGGGGCTGGAAGAGGTTAATGGGGGGAAAGGAGGACCTCTGTAATACTTTCAACAATAAAGATTAAAAAAAAAAGAAAAAAAAAAGGAAGGGGTCTGGGTGGCAGATTTCACCCCGAGTCCGAGGCCTGCACTCCCCGCGGCAGGCCGAGTGGGGGAGGGCCAGGGCACAGGGGCAGAGTGGGGCCCTCGCACGGCGTGGGGGTGGGCAGCGCCCGGCCTTCAGGAGCCTGAGCCGGGCAGGGGGGACTCAGGGACGTGCACCGGGTCCTGCTCCTGAGCCGCCTGCACGGAGCTCCGGTCTGCACAGGCCACGTCCTCTGCGTGCCGCCCGGAGGCACACGGTGTCCCCGGGTTTCTCCCCGCGCAGACACGCTGCCCCGGGCTTTCCTCGCGTCCCGTTCTGCTGCGTCCTCTTCGGAAAGCCGTGTGACGAGGGGCTTTCCGTCCTGGCGGGCCGGGCCTCCATGGGGACTTTTGGGCGACAGGCGGGTTCTGAGAAAGCCCCGCAGGTGCCAGGCAGGCAGGCAGGCGTGCCAGGCGACGGGAGGTCTGGGAAGCACCGCTCTCTGCACGTCCACAGGCCGCGGCCGGCAAAGGCAGGTGTCTGACGAGTGCGAGTGGCCGAGGGAACAGAGGCGGCCCAGGGTGGGGGCTCCTGCCCAGAAGGCCCCACGCCCCCGGCACACCAGCCCTTTGGGGGTCCTGGGGGACATGGCGTGGGTCTCCGCGGCCTGTGACCCCGCCTCCCCGCGGAGCCCGGAGCACCCGCCTTGCTCTCCCCTCAGGAATTCTGTGGCTTCCTGTGGCCACGACAGCTCTCCTGGGGCCAGAGCGGTTCACTGTGCTCAGGGCCCCGCCAGCAGCTGTGGCCCCACCGCCCTC